ATTTAAATCCTCTAGATTTTTTTATATGGGGGTTTTATAAGGGGACAATCTATAAATCTGAATATACAACTGAGCCAGAAAATTTATGAAGCAAAAATAAAGATTATGGAAAACGCAAAGACTAAATGACAATCTTATTAGAAGGTGTCGCTTGTGTATAGGAAATAAAGGAGGCCATTTCGAACATGTTTTTTAAAAGTTAGTTAAATTAAATTATCTTCCATGCTTGTCGGTAAATCGTCATAAAGAGCGGCAAGACACAATAGATTCTGTACTTGTAGGTGGTAAGGATACTTCTATTGCGTTTTTTACGTCATCACTGAAAACTGATTCAAGTATACTGGGTGTAATTTAATTGATGATTAACAATACAGGATATGATTCCATAGCTCATTTCAGGAAGTACAGTTTATATGAACATATTATGTCCTAAACATCTTAAGGCGGCTCCGACGCAATGAGTTTCAAGCCATTTACAAGGGTTCAGCTGCTCCGAAACTGACACTCCATTTTTCAATATTTTTGAATGAAATTCATACAGTATGTTCAGAAGATCATTGCCCAGGATGCTATAGGAGCACTTTTTGAAATTTTGTTTCTGCACAAGTTTTATGATGGGTTGAAGTGGGAACTTTTTCTGTTCAACTTCGCGATTTTTTTAAAAAGAACCTAATGAAAAAATGCAAAAGTGGCTCGATAGCACTCTGTGGAGTTTTCTATTCAGCACACTGTGAAAATTTCATTCGAAAATACCAAAAAATAAAGCGTCAGTTTCGAAGCGCGCAAACCTCTACAAATTCGTCCAAAATACGAATTTTGTCTACTGTTTCGTGCTGCCAACCCAAACGTTGCGGCGCAATGTACGGAGTAAGAAAGGACGTATTCAGATAATTTGGTGGCCCTATTTCACATAATATCGCGAAGATAAGTCGTTCTGCAAATAAGTACTCATAATCGCGATCGCTGATACTCCTAAAGCCGTTTTCCTTCCCACGCCATTGGCGAGGAAGTATTGTAATCGCAAAAAATTTCTAAAATGAGATGTTATGTTTTTTTAAGTTATATGACATCTACATCACGAAAAACTATATCACTCATCATCAACTTGGAAATTACCGCTCGGATTTTTATGAACTTTCCACACGGAGTCACTAGTATGCCAAAGCTTTGTAGTTTTAGTCCAGTTGCAACGGTGCTATGCAAAAAAGAAAAAGTAACAATTGCTGAAACTCCATTTTTGACATTTCAGGGGTTCCTAATCATTGACATAAAAAAATTTGACTGCTTAAAAAGTGGGGGTTGGGGGAAGGTGATTCTAAATGTTGCATCTTTGATATCAGTGAAACACGTTCTATTATTAAGAAGCTTCTGATCCCAGTGATTACAGGAAATTTAAGTAACGAAAATCCGAGGAATAATGTGCTCACGATTTGAAAAAATCGGTACCTGCTCTATAGGTTTGACACCAAGAGTCAATAGATCTGCAAATGCCGACAGTAGGGAAGAATGAATTCAAATACCACTCCAGTCAAGTATAGGGGAATTTACCGTGGAACTTAAAAATTATCGATATGTCAAGGAAATCTGTTTTTGAGAATGATAATTTGGTAGATTGTATACCTGTATTTTCATTTGAACTTCATGACCCGTGAAATGTACCCATTTAGCCGTTACCTTCAATTTGTGTTCTGCAGTTTGTGATGTTTTTGTGGATATAAGCAGGACATAATTACCTAGGGTGCTATCAGAGCTTTTTACAAAATTTTGTCTATGCGCAAGAATTATGGTGGGTTGAAATGCTTACCATTTGTGCTCAATTTCTTGTTATTTTAAAAACATCCTTGTGGATAAAATCGAAAAAGTGGATCGTTAGCACCCTGTGGACTTTGTTTGGCACGCTGCAAGAGTTTCATTCGGAAGTAATAAAAAATGAAACGTAAGCTGTGAAGTGCAAATCGGTTTTTGGGCGAAATTCGTCTACTGTATTCAAATAATTTGGTATCTTTCCTAAAATAAATTCAAGATCTCAAATTCAAATTCATTTATTCATGTCAATAAACACAATTATGTTTACAAGGGTCTTGTGGTGCATGGTAACAATTGAACGAGGATCACAAAAATATCTTATGCCGTCAAAATAAGAGGAAACAGTTAGGTAGTTATTGCAAAGCAATAAACAGGTAGGCTAATACTTGGATTAAGTACATTATTTCTTGTCTACTGTAATAGGTAGATGGAGGCGATGCTGCCAGAAATGGATGTGTGGGATTAATAAACAAACCACAAGATTGAACTGCGGAGTCCAATGATTTTTGTATTGCTTTTTTTATTGCCTTACTAGAAAACTCTGTTGGGTATATGATGGAGTTTACTAGAACTTTACAGCTTGTTGTTTGCCTTCTTCTACAAACATCACCAAATCGAGACGCTGTTAACCTTATCCTCCGATGAAGGCGCCACAAAGTACAGTCCTGTGATTTGGTGACTTGTTCGATCTGCAAAATCTCATCGTCTTTTTTTTCAAGTTTCCCTAAAAAGCTTAGAACGCAAATGTATTTGGACCACATAGACAGGCCGGGTATTGTGGCTTACTACAGCTGCAGCACAACTTCCATGGTATGACCTCTTTTTGTAATAATTCATTCGCTTACCCCAATGTATTTTGCGATTATAGAGTTGAACTGCTCCACACTATTGTTGTCCTCATCATGAATTAAACTCACTGCATTCGTAGTTAAAATGGTCGCATATGACCTTTTATTGTCCGTTATCAACCTTGATAAAAAAGGCACTCAAGAACAATGACACCAACAAGAGTACAGCACAACAATTCAACAACACAATATCGACGAACAGTAACAAGGGTAGAACAATACTAAATGATCACTTGCTGAGTACCAAAATAGGAAACGATTTACAGGCTAGGTCGCTAATCAAAATCCGACTCTGTTATTATAAAAATTTACCGCAGTCATACTTTCCTCTTTTAAAGTAGCGCCGTCTAAGGCCAGCCCACCCTCGTTTGATTTTCACCCCCCCCGTTACCTCAGCATGGTGTTACAATTTTTTTTAAAAATTCTTATTTTGTTATCAAAACTTTAATACTGTTTTAGATATTGTCATGAAATTTGACATGCACCTTCCTAGCACCAATATGCATTTATTGATGTACGATATTTTTTTATATTTCTACCGGCGGCATCCATCCGTACGGGATGTATACTGGAAATTTTTCAAAAAAAATATTGTACGCCATTGCTTTTTTGCGAAAGTAAAAATCCTCATTTGTTTTGCAAAAAAATTGACCTCTTGACTCTTTCCCGTCCGATGCACCATTCTCGCGTGAAAAATTAAAAACCATTTTGGCTATTTTAATCAATTTACTTTACTAGGATAAAAATTAAACAAAAACGCATCTTACCTACAAACTACCACATGAGATTTTAGCGATTTTGCAATGCATGAGAATTAAAAAAAACAAGTTTGCAACAAGTTTTGATAGTTTTTGTGGATCAAATAAACTAATACTATTTAATTTAATTATAACAAGGATTGTTGGAAATGTCCTTCTTCTGCTAGAATACAGGCTTCAATTCTCTTTCTCATGGATTGGCGAACCCTTTCCAAAACCCAGGGATATTTCTTATGGTTTGGCACGAAAGTAAAATTTTCTGCCTTAGTTCCTCTACAGTTTGAACGGGTGTACTAAAAACTAATATTTTGAGATGCCCCTAAAAACAGTCTAAATTATTTGAATGAGGCGATCTGGGAGGTATGTGGTTTCATTTAGCAGCCAAACGTCATTCATTGAGAATACGTTAATCAATGGTTGTACCTAAAGCAGTGATTTTTAGGTACAACCATTAATCGATGTAATCTCAATAGGTAAAACTAGCAGCTTGGCAGCGCTTCTATCTAAAAAACCTACATAATGTCAAAAAAATCGACAAAATGGCAACTTGCTGATTAGATAGTTCCTAGTGGGCAAATACGTGTAGTTCATTCCACTTTTGTTCATTATGAGCGCTGTAAGCATGACCAAAAGCGTAATCCATGCAGGAATGAATCAATGACGTGCTCAATGCAAGGCAGTTCCCCAGCATGATTTGTTGGTTGCAGAATGCCGAGATATTCTCATCTCTGAGAAGATGTGACAGAAAGAAGGTTGGTTGAGAATCAAGATCGCATCTGATGAAGTAGAGTAGAGTTGGTGAATGTGGAATACTTTTCATTTGAAGCTTATAATTCTATACTAATTTGAGGCATTCAAATAAATCAAGTAGTTCTGATATCTGTGAGGTTCTGTCAAATAGCTGAAATAATTTAGGTCGCATATATTTACTCCATGCATTTGTAAAAATGAAAATATTCGAAGCATGTAATGTGTAGCCATCGAAAATTAGTATGGTAATGTGGAATACTAGGGTTTGCTAATGTGGAATATGGCTTGGTAATGTGGAATAAGGCATGGTAATGTGGAATAATAATATTTTTGTTGGTTTGTACAAACATTGAACAATATTTCACAACCAAAATTGCTACATAGTTTTTGTCTATAAAACATAGTACAGCGTTTTTAAAACTGGTGAACAAAAATAAATAAATGTATATTCTATAAAACAACGAAGGAACCAAACGATGTCAAAATTTGCATATCTATATATTTTGGTTTACTTGCACAAATCGCATATATAAATATCTTTCTTCTCCACTCCTCCACATTCTGCATGCGCCCAATTGTTACAGATCTCACATCTAACCCAGACTTCCCCGCGTACATCTTCTGAAAATTTTCCTTCGCAAAATATGCAGCTTGCATCACCACTGGTATTTTGAATGGAGATATCATTTTCGTCATCTGAAGAGTCGTGAACCGAGGGAGTGCAACTTGATTCCGAACTACTTATTGAGAGTTTTTTTTGTCTTTTGGATGGATTACCTTTAGAGCTAGTTGCTTGCCTAGATGAAGTAGTGCATGGATTAGCCAGATTTCTCTTCACTTATTTTTTCTTGTTATTTGAGATGCTTATAGAAGCTTCAAGTTCATCTTTGTTCGGTGTAGATGTAATGATTTTCGCTTTCCCTGATTTTCTTCCCCTATTAGATTGTTTCTTTTTTAGATTTGGTATTTTCATTATATCTTCAGGGAGTACCAGGGTTTCTGATCCAGGAGATGTCTCTTCATTCTGGATTTGTTCTCTCAACACGGGTTCATCTTCTGTTTCTTTATGTTCACTATTATCTTCTGCTGCCAAATAGTCGTCTTCTGTGAAAACGTTGCGTCTTACTGGATAAAGGCCCGTAACAGCAAATCCCTTGACCGCGCGTTCTCCAGTTTGCACTTTCAGGTATGCCCTGCCAAATAGCTCAGATATGTCAAAATGAGTTACAGCTCTTTGATTTGCTCTTAAAAATATCCTGATTTCTTCACTGTAATACGTTTTCAATGCTGACATCACAGTTTTATCTAGAGGTTGTAACTTGTGGGTAGTTTTTGGAGGTAAACATAAAATAGTTACATGCTTTTCTCTAGCTTTTAAAATCACATCCAAATTTCTGGTGTGACTGTAATGCCCATCTAGAATCAGCAATACAGGATTATTTTCGCTTGGCTGTGTAAAATCAATAAATTGATTGAACCAATCTGTAAAAAGATTTGATTGAATCCACCCGGATGGATGAAAGCGAAATATTGTCCCCGGTGGTGCTCCTTTTTTTAGTTATTCACTGCCCTTCTTTCTTGGAAAAATGATCATTGGTGGCACAAAGTTGCCAGCTGTGTTCATAGACAAGACAACTGTTATTAAAGATCCACGTTCAGCTGAAGTTAGCGCTCCGACTTGACGCTTGCCCTTTACAGATATGACATGGGGACACTTTGACTGTACTAAGCAAAGGCCACTCTCGTCAACATCATAAATCCTATTGGCCTGGAATTTTTTCTCGTCCATCATGTTCTCCAGGATGTCAAAAAATTCAGCAACCTTATGCTTGCAGAATCCAGTTGCTCGAGCTATGGAGGAGCCGGTCGGTTTCCTAACACTAAGTACATGTTCGTGCCTTTTTAAAAACCTTTTGAGCCAATCTTTTCCTGCTGATTCACTGAGCAGTGAAAATGGGTTAGGAATATTGTTCAGTTTTGCCAACTGAAAGGCTATTGAACGCACATCCCTTCTTGTAAGACCAAAATATTTCTTATCCATCATTATAAGATATTCAACCAGCTTTTGCTCTAATTCTTGCGATAATATTGGTTTTCTTCCTAGTTTATGTTTTCTTAGATTTTGATCATCTTTATGAATTTGACAATATCTGAAGAGGGTAGCCCGTGGAACGCTAAAAGTCTTTGCAGCGAGAAGGTAGCCCATTCTTTTACTCTGTACTGCCTTAACTGCTTCTAACATATTATTTTCTGACCAGTTGTGTTGTTTTATTCCTTAAGAAGGCATTTTCTGAAATGAAACAACACATATGGTCAAAAACATAAACAAATTCAATATTCTTAAGCAATAGGTCCGATAATGTGGAACACTCGTATGGTTGATATTGTGAAATATTCCACAATACCATCCCACCTTAACTTAATCTCAAGTTTACAGCTAGCATGTATAAACATAAATTTTATAATGAATTCACACATAACTTGATAATGCATGTATCTGAGCCTTAATAACAAATAGTAATAATTAGAACAAAGTTGTACTTTACCTAGAAATACACAAAAATTGCAGCCAGTTCAATGTTTCGATAATCACGTTTACCGGTTTTACCAACTTTTTTGAGGTTATGCTGCGTTAATCGATAAAAGATAGTTACGCTACTAATACAAGAGTAAATAATGCCATCGAAGTGCAGATGCCGCTACTAGTTTTGAAGATATTTGTCTATTCCACTCTACCTACCTATTTCACATTCACCAACTTTACTCTATATCTATTAGCTGTGGCAGAATGGTTATCTATGCGTTGTTTTTTTTGAAGAGAGGTTATGTTCAAAGTTATAAATTGCGATTTTCCTCAGTTTTTTGCATTTTCAAAAAAACTGTGAGAAGTATTACGTGAAATCATCCCCGCACCCGCGTTTTGTGTATCAAGACACGTCACAGAAAAATTAGGAATGACGCATCACACACAAAATACTTTCGTAGTGCCTCATCTAGGCACTGATTTTAAAAGTTTTAAGACACCTAGTCTCGTTGTACATGGTGGGTCAATGATCTAACGGAGTACCATGGAGTCCTTATTATGCGGAATTGAGAATAGCCAAATTATAAATATTTTTTTATATACATATCCCAAAAGTAAAAGCATTTTTTGAATGGAAAATCCTTTTTTTTGTATTTTGAGATTCTTCTTATGATTTTAAACATTTTTTATTTGTTAGCGTCCAAGCCTGAATTCAACTTTCTTTGATATATTGAGGTTATAAACGAGCCTTTCATCCTATGCAACACCCTATAATATCCAAGGGTTGATTAACCAGCAAAATGCCTGTGTTCTAATATGAGAACAGCCTTAGCAGGAAATTTATTACACAGCACCTCGAACATGAGGAGAGAGTCCTTATTATGAGGAATTGAGAAAAGTTAAATTATAAATATTTTTTTATATACAGGGTAGCCCAAAAGTAAAAGCATTTTTTTAATGGAAACTCCTTTTTATTTTTGTATTTTGAGATTTTTCTTATGATTTTACATGTTTTTTATTTGTTAGCATCCATGCCAGAATTTGTTTTGAGATATTGAGGTTAGAAATGAGCCTTTCGTTATTTGCGACACGCTGTAATATCTAAGGGTTGATTAACCAGCAAAATGCCTATCTTAGGTTTTACGATCTGTTCTAATATGGGAACAACCTTAGCAGGAAATTTATTACACAGAACCTCGAACATGAGGAAAAGGTGATTTTCTAACCTCAATAGCTCAAACAGAGAATTATTTCTAAGTATTTTTCTAATTGGGATAAGAAAAAACAAAAGAGCATAGAACAAACAAAACAAAATTAATTGTAACTGCTTAAAAATGATAACCTACTTTCGTCGCAGATTGGTGCATGGTAAATTGTTGTAGTAGCTACTAGTTTCGGTGAGGATCAGTGGACGTACATCTTTTTTTCATACAACGGCTATGTCATTCATCATTCATCTTTTTTTCCCTGCACGACAAGTTTTCAATTGGGTATAACTACGGACTGTCATTGTTTTTGCGTGTTTCCGATACCACAGAGTGTCCCGATACCTCATGGGATTGTACTGCGTTAAGACTACATGTCGCCGGTTCTAACTACAAAACATCAAATTTGTGACATTCATCTTTTTTCCCCTGTACCTTTCAAATGTGTCTCTGTCACTCATTTCTGCCGTTCTGTCCGCAAATCCTTGGCCAGTCTGTAACTTGGAAAATCCTGCTCGGATTTGGATGATATTGTTACACACGGTACTACTATGCCAAGGACAAAAAAGCAGGTTAGATTTTGGCAAGAACTATGGACAAAAAACAATAATCGCTTAACCTTAGTTTTTTGGAGTTTTATGAAAATTCTTTGTAGCGGTAAAAAATTGGGGGTTGAGGTTATAGAGGGCAGGGAAGATTTTATCTCATGTCTTTTGTCCATGATGTTTTCATACTGATGTGACGCGTCTATGTTACACTTGCAGTATGATACGAACTCCGCTGTCCACAAAATCCTTTCAACGTCTTTAGCCTATATTTCGCCACTACACTGCTGAAGCTGACCAGCAAAGGATGATGTTGCCAGACAGTTGATATTGTCAGTAAGGGCAATCAAGTGGTTTCTATATCGCAGCGTTCTCGAATGGGAGGGACATGGACTAATTGGATGGGTCTGGTTGGCTCACCTGATCCATTTAATTATTTTCCTGTGCTAAACATGTTCGTGGTTAACTTTTTCCGATAATAATCCTGTATGAACTAATGACAGCGTTGCGTGGGGCGTGCAGGGCAAGCTACTTGACGTCATTTTGGTCAATTTCCATGTATGGAATTGTCTGTAGCTCTTGGGTATTGGAATTTAATCAGTGCAGCTATGTTTGTTACCATTGTTTAAAGTATTCATGGAGAATACGTGAATCCAATGTTTCCCAAAGTGTGAGTCCCCATAGGAGATCGCAATGGGGTGCTAGGGGGGTCGCTAAGATTTTCCAAAATAAGACAAGAACATGTATTTTTATTTTATAACGCCGTAAATAACAATTAACTAATTATCAAACGAAACATAAACTAAATATTAATAAGTCTAGTGTGACAGATCGAAATTATTAAAAAAAAAATTGACCTTTTCAGTGTATTTATAGTTGGACCAGCGAAAGATTGCGAGCCGAAAGAATGCGGACAAAAAATTGCGAAGTTGTCAGATGTTCTACATAAAATGCGGTCCTACATATTAACATATTTAAGATATAGAATTGTTCCGCTGAATTTGGCAATGTAGCTGGAAAACCCAGGCCGCAGGTAAACATCCGGTCGCTGATTGGTCCAAACTCTTATCTATCTGAAACTAGAAGAACGTGCCGATGGCACGGTCATTTATAAACCTACTCCCATAGGCGTAGGCAGTTGGCAAATACTTTGAAATATAATTTACTGTTTAGTGGTGATAATGGAATTCAAGCATGGGAAAGTTATTCACAGCCAGGCAAGGGAAATAATAGCAAACGTGATACGTGCTTGCGATGCAGAAGCGGCTAACAATACTTTCGTTTATCCACTGGTAGCTAGAAATGCAAGGGCGGCATATTATACGGGTGTTAGTGAACGAACTATAAGTAAAATTAGAAAAGAAGATAAAGACAGGCAAAATGCAACCTCCACACAGCCTTTAGCTTCTCCCGGAAAAAAGAGATCACGCCCTTCTGTGATCCAAAAAATTGATGGAGTCGATTTTTCCATTATTCGGAGAATGATAGAAAAATTTTACTGTGATTTTAAAGTGGTACCTACTTGTAGTAAACTTCTAATCAAACTGAAGGAAGAAATGGAATTTCCATTTGGTAAAGAATCGTTGAGGCTGCTTTTAAAAGCAAAAGGATTTTACTGGCGTAAATGCCACAACAAAAGGAAATTACTAATGGAAAGACCCAGTATTTTACATTGGCGATACAAGTATCTTAGGTCTATTAAAAAGTTCCGGGAAGAAGGAAGGCATATTATTTATTTGGACGAAACTTGGGTTGATAATGACCTCACTTTCAAGAAATGCTGGCAAAGCGAAGAAATTATGGGTGTCCTGAGCAATATAAGTTCTACAGGTAATAAAGTTTCTTTCACCTCGATTTTGCTTATTATACATTTTTCTCAATTTTGGAATATTCTTAATAAGTGCTCATTTAATTTGTCTAATTGAATACATAATCCCTTGCAAGTATTTTTTTCTCAAAAATATGTTTTTTATACATAGTGATTCAAAAAGGTGTTGGCAAACTTAAAATAACACTAAAA